TACTAATTAGTATATTTTTTTTGTTCAAAATATTTTTTATAGGAAAAAAATGGTACTTTTTCCTTTTAAATGTTTTTGTAAAATTTTTATATACGAAGTATAAAAATATGCATATCAGACGAAAGGGTGTTTAATCGCCTTTACAACGGTACCAATTGTTTAAATATCGGTTGGTAATTTTTTTGTTCAAAATATTTTTTTTAAGTTTTTTTTCTTTTAAATGTGGTTTTTCTCAAATTTGTATATACGAAGTGTTTAATCGCCTTTACAACGATACCAATTTCTTAAAAATCGGTTAGTATTTTTTTGTTTAAAATATTTTTTTTATAAAAAAAGTTTTTTTTTTCATTTAGACGTGTTTTCTTTTATTTTTATATACGAAGTATACAAATATGCAAATCAGAAAAAAGGGAGTTTAATCGCGTTAACAACGACACCAAGCTTTTAGAAATCGGTTAGTAATTTTTTTGTTTAAAATTATTTTTTTATAAAAAAAAGGTATTTTTTTATAAAAAAAAGGTATTTTTTTCAAATTTTTATATACGAAGTATACAAATATGCATATCAGAAGGGGATTTAATCGTCTTTACAACGATCTACATTTTTTTAAATCGGTTAGTAATCGTTTTGTTTAAAATATTTTTTTCTATAAAAAAAAGGTATTTTTGCATTTAAATGTGTGTTTTTCTACAATTTTTATATACGAAGTATACAAATATGCATATCACCTGTAGCACCTGTAATATAAGTTTGTACAAAAAAAGTTATATACAATTTAAATAAGAGCAAAAGGAGGACTACGTCTATATTTTAAGGTTTTTAGTTATTTATAGGCAATAATTAAATATAACTTTTTACCAAAGGTCCTATTTCGAACTTCGAAGGCCCATATCTCGATTTCGGAGGCTAACTTCAAAACGGAAAATTTACTTTTCTACCTATGACTCAATCTCTTAAAAAAAATATTGGTTTGGTCCAATACCCAGAAAAAAAATTGGTTTTGCCGTACAGTGTTATCAAAGGTGAGGCAAAAGATTCGTTTTTCAGTTATTTAAAAGATTTTAACCTAGCCCATTGTTGAAATGACCGCTACATTTTCTTCTAGGTAATGTAAAAATTTCATAACTGTATCAATTACCCGTAGCTCACTCGCACAAAATATGTATTAATTATTTCTATGGGAGTATACATATGTATGTGTTTTGAAACTTTAAAAGANAAAAGGGAGTTTAATCGCGTTAACAACGACACCAAGCTTTTAGAAATCGGTTAGTAATTTTTTTGTTTAAAATTATTTTTTTATAAAAAAAAGGTATTTTTTTATAAAAAAAAGGTATTTTTTTCAAATTTTTATATACGAAGTATACAAATATGCATATCAGAAGGGGATTTAATCGTCTTTACAACGATCTACATTTTTTTAAATCGGTTAGTAATCGTTTTGTTTAAAATATTTTTTTCTATAAAAAAAAGGTATTTTTGCATTTAAATGTGTGTTTTTCTAAAATTTTTATATACGAAGTATACAAATATGCATATCACCTGTAGCACCTGTAATATAAGTTTGTACAAAAAAAGTTATATACAATTTAAATAAGAGCAAAAGGAGGACTACGTCTATATTTTAAGGTTTTTAGTTATTTATAGGCAATAATTAAATATAACTTTTTACCAAAGGTCCTATTTCGAACTTCGAAGGCCCATATCTCGATTTCGGAGGCTAACTTCAAAACGGAAAATTTACTTTTCTACCTATGACTCAATCTCTTAAAAAAAATATTGGTTTGGTCCAATACCCAGAAAAAAAATTGGTTTTGCCGTACAGTGTTATCAAAGGTGAGGCAAAAGATTCGTTTTTCAGTTATTTAAAAGATTTTAACCTAGCCCATTGTTGAAATGACCGCTACATTTTCTTCTAGGTAATGTAAAAATTTCATAACTGTATCAATTACCCGTAGCTCACTCGCACAAAATATGTATTAATTATTTCTATGGGAGTATACATATGTATGTGTTTTGAAACTTTAAAAGAGTTTTTCTCGGGTTTTCGGTTTTTTGAGTTATTGCAGTACCTATTGAAGTGAATGAGCGCTATGTTCATTTTCATAACACTCATATTGGATATCAAAGATATTATTCGAACGTTCGCCACAATATTTATTGGGAAATTAAAAAAAAATTTACTTAAAAAGTTCTTAACCGGTCGATACTTTTTGGCATTCGCGATATTTACTCAGTACTTGTCAAAAAGTATCGAGTGCTCGTTATTACTCAGTACTCATGAAAAGTATCGATATTCTGTACTCGGTACTCGTATCGTTCTATCACTATAAACAGGGCAGCGTTGATCCGGATCAACTCGGGGATTAACTGCAGCTGATCCGGATTAAGTCTGAGTTAATCCAGATCACACACTGCCGTCTGTTTAAGCTTTAACATCAAATACTTTTGCACCGAGGAAGGGCAACATTTTTTGGAAAATCACCATAAGTCTCATATAACAGAAGCAGTTGCGTTAGTAAGTCCAGTGCGGCTCATGAGGATAAAAAATAGCATTGCCATGCCACCAAATACATTTTCTAGGAAATACACTCCTGGATACCAACAAACAAACAAGCCAAGAAGGATATATATATATGACATCACACAAACAGCTGATTCTGTCAAACTTGCTAAGAACAAAGTATCGGTACTGCTGAATGAACCACATCGTGAATGTGGAGCGAATGATGCAGCTTACAAATTTGTCGCCTCGGCATTATGTAAGAATCATTATGGTTATTCATGCTTGCCTGGTTATCAGGTTATCTGGTTAACAATAATTTTTGTGTAGTGTATTGTATTGTTGTACAACAAAAAAGTACACTACGGAAAAATTATTTTTAAGCAGATAACCTGATAACCAGGAAAGTGTGAACAACCACATTATTTTGGTTATATTCGCTTACGCAGCACCCTCGCTCCGTAGCGACTATATACTCAAGGACGAGGACAGGAGGTGAAACAAATTGAAAAAGACTTTGTGGACACTATCTACTATAAATAAATGAACTCCAACGACGGCTTCAAATTTTTGATTTTTTATGCCTCGATAACTTTGTGACGATATACGTCTTAGCAAACTGCAAAGTAGTTGAGAGGGACAAGTTCCAGTTCAAAGCTTTCCGCATCAGAGTCTCAGGCATGTTAAATGTGGAGTACGGGAAGAACTTAAGTTTCCAGCCTTATTTGTGACGTCTAATATAAAGTTGTTCGGTTTGAAAGTATAAAAATGTGTTACTGGTTTTATGGACACTTTCAATTCAGTAAATAAAATTTTTGCGGCGTTCAAGGCTTTTCCTGGTTTGCGTTATTAATTCCCATATTAAGTTTGATAGATTGTTAAAGAATCTGCACACCTGCATACTATCTTGCATGATACAAAAAGAAGGTAGTTTCATTTCAAAATTTTTGACAAAAAATAAGTTTTTGAAGTTTCATAAATTGTACAAAATTATGAGCTACCTTGCCACCTTGATATCAATGAAACAATACATAAGAGGGTTTAATGTTGTGCGTTGGAAATGTTCGGTTATTTGTAAAATGATTTTTTGGTGGGGAGCGGAAACGGAAGGTGCGTGTCACCAAAAACTTACTAGAAAGAGAACAGTATAAACTTTAAGATAATTCACCCTTCGCCTCCCTGCCCCTTCTACAGACACTCGGGGCCCATTTCAAAATGGGGTAAAATTAGCATTTTCGCAAAGAAAAATTAAACTCGTGTTAGGCCATCAGCAGTGGGTACTCTTTTCCATTTTGGTACCCTTCGGCCGCGCTAGTGAAAATAACCTCATCAGTCAACTCTGGTTACGCCATCCACAGTATATTTGGGCAAAATTGACCTCCAAATTTACAAAAAAAAGTGCATATTTTAAACCGAAACCTTTGTTTTAACTTAGAGCTTAGTCCATCTATCTTTTTTGTCCGATCAGTTCAAATTTATTTTATTTTATGTTTTTAGGCTAGTCTGTTATATATGTATACATTTTTGTTTTTTCGGTTAATACTTAATGTGTGTGTTTTTTGTATTTTTGTATATATGTTGTAACAGATAAAATAAACACTACCCCTGAGGATGCTAAAAAAGTTTTAGCGAAACGTCCGGTGAAAAGTGGAATAAAGTAGTTTTATTCGCACCAGAACTGAAAAGATCAGACTAGCCTACAAACATAAAATAATATAAAAAAAAATAAAGCTTAGTCCTTTGGCTAGACGTATATGTTAAAATTTTTTGATTCGGGTCACGGGTTTGAAGACGATAACCCAAAATCATTGTACAAATTAGGGATGTTGCGAATGTGGAATTTTAGACATCCGCGGATGCGAATGCGTATGCGAATATCTAAAAGCTAACAACCGCGAATGCGGATGTCAAGTATTTTTAAGAAACAATTAGAATCTAGCATAATGGCGAGATCGTTGTTTAAACAGCGCTTACAAAGCCAAACCAGATGTGTCAGGTTTTTCTAAAGCTTTTTAAAAATAGTTCTCCATTGTCATTCCTTTGGCTGTTTCAGAATTTGGGGAATCTGTAACTTCATCAGCGATTTTCGATTTTAGTTTTTGTAGTTCATTTTTAATACTTTCTTCTGCGACTGGTTTGAACAATCCATGCCTATAGCGAGCTAAATAGGTGGATATGGAAAATAAATTATTGTTTTCCTGGAATGAAAATTTTGAACAAAATTGTGTTTTCAAAGTCGTGGCTGTCAGCGGAATCGGATAAGAACACTGTTATTTTTAAAAAAAGCACCCAGTTTTTTAAAAACATTTGAATCTCAGATACTTACGTAATTCTTATCTTATTAAAGGTCAGACCTATACAGCCCAATTCTAAATACTTTTTCCCTGGGAGTTTGTTCTTTTTTCCCTACTCCCGCATTCTTAATAAAAAATCTCCCACATTTTGGCTTTCCTCTCTTTTTCCTAATTCTAAACTAACTTCGAATATGTAGGGAGCAAAAAGGTGGCATTACGAATGTAGTGGGAAAGGGAGAAGTAATGACATTTCTCAAGTTTTGGTTCCTCATTCTTCTCGTAAGGAGCAGCGCGGCAAAATGTAAGTATTAGAATTAAAATTAAATAATAAATAAAATAAATATATTATTTTAGGGCAAAGACCACAAATAAAACGCAATTGGAACTATTGGTGCAATTAATGGACTCCCAACCGGGTATCGCTCGTGGTTTCTTCAAAGGCGGCAAGGAAGAGTTGGCAAAATTTTGGCGATCAGCAGAAATAAAGCTGAACAGTGCAGGTCCACCAATGAAAACTGTTGCCGAATGGAAAAAGGTACATAAGGGTACCGATTTGTTGCATATTTCAATAAAATTTTTATTACAGGTGGCGCAAAATGTAAGAGCCAGGACTGGCACAGGCGGGGGACCAAACACTGAAAAGACATTTACGGCGACCGAAGAGGCAATTTACAAACTTATAAGTATGAAGGAGTCCGTGGAGGGTATAGTCGTGCCCAAGTTTGGGTTGCAAGCGGAACAAGCTGAACTCACGATCGATTCAGATGAAATGGATGTACAGTATATTTTGCTTTGCTGCCTCTATGCTTAAGTGCACATTTAAGATACCTACCCCAAAATGTGCATCAGAGGCATTATTTTAAACACTTAGATGCAGTCGACATACCTGCACATTGGCGACACCTGCCTTAAAAATTTTGCGACTAGTATCAATTATCAATGAAAGTATTACGTTTACCTGCACTGGCCCTACAATTACCTAATTTTACAACCTTTTATTTATTTTGCTCATCTCGCAGAACAACGAAAATGGCTATCAATTTATGTGGTTACATAGATAATTAGATAACATTCGGTAAAAATTACTCTTGCAGTAATTTCTACATGGTAAGTGCTCCGCCAATATTTGGTTTCATAGGGATTCGGATACCTTCCTCATTGAAGTAGTAAAGAAAATTCGCTTAAGTGCCTTTTTCGGTTACGTGCACAAGTTTTGCGTGCAAAGAGGGATGTGCAGCTAAGCAAAATATACTGTATCGCAAATTTTGCTAGGTAATGTGCAGTATTATACTTTAATCTAGTGAATTATTACATTGTAGTAGACATTAGATGATCTAGAAGAAAATGCTCCTCGCAACACGACCGCGGTAACTGATCATTTTGCATGCATCAAAGAAATTCCTACTCAAAAATCTCCTAAAAAACAAATGAACTCGCTGGAATTGATTGGCGAAGAAGCAGAAATACAAAGAGATTTATGTGAGAAAGTAAGAAAAATATATAAATCAATAGATAGCCTTTACAGTCTAAAAAAAAAACATTTTGCTGCGATTGAGAAAATTGAAGAAGATAAATTTAAAGAAATACAACACCACAATTACTTGATGGAAGAACTAAGGAAAAGAGAAATTGAAAAAAACAGACGAATTTTGGAAATTGAAGAATTAAAGACTACTTTAAAAATGTAGTGAAGACTTTACATTTATTTATGTAATTAATGCTCCATGTACCTACATAATTTAAATATGAATTTAAGTTTGAGTTAAACTGTTACTATAAATACCTGAAGTTACTTTTAAATTAATTGATTTTATTTAATTATTTGTTATTGTAATTGCGAATGATGTGCACAATATGGTACAAAATTTATGTACATACATAATGTACACTTGTGATCAGCTATTTAAGTCATCAACAATTTGATCAATTTTGCTATTTCTTTTGTTTATTTAATGTTTATTATTTTTCCATAAAAGTCTAGCTCATATAAACCTAAATTTCAAACTTTGTGCGAAAATTATAAAAAATCAGCAAAGTTTCAACTACATTTTTAGAATTTAATAGCCCATTAAATTCCAGGGTAATAATGTGCAAGTTTTAAATAGCTGAAGAATCGCGTTGATTTTTAATATTTTTTTTTCTTTCAAAATATATTCGACAGAAAAACAATTATTCAAAATCAACGCGTTTCTTTAGCAACTTGAAACTTGCACATTATTATCCTAGAATTTAACGGGCTATGAAATTCTAAAAAATCTGAATAAAAAGTTGAAAATTTATCTGGAACTTTGCAGATTTTGTATAATTTTTGCACAAAGTTTGAAATGTGGGCTAATATGGTGTTTGTTATATAATGACCTAGACTTTTATGTCAGTATAATTAACATTAAATAAACAAAAGATAAATAGCCAAAATTGATCAAAATGTCGATGACTTAATTAGCTGATCACAAGTGTATGTACATACATATGTATGTAGTCATTCAAAATGCAGATGTATTAGTTAAAAAAGGCTAAACGCTAAAGAAAATAAAATGAATTAAATAAAAATTTTATATCTTTATAATAAATATTTCTTTTAATTTTAATTCCATTATGTTAGTTATAGGAGAAAGGAACTAAGCCTTCGTAAAAATGAATAAAAACAGAAATATTAATAAATTTTAGGTGAGTGAGTTACCAATATTGGTTCTTATCATTTGAGCTACATTTAAATTTTGTGAGGAAGTTATAGAGAACACTTCACCGCCCGCAATATAAACATCAGTACCATTATGTGGAACTTCATCTGTTTTGAAAAATATGCAAATGTTATGCAAACAACAACAAGCATTTATGATTTTCGCTGCCTTCTTTGGAGTATAATGAAGCTCCCGTGCACCAAGTAGACATCTCCACCGATTTTTCAAAACTCCATTGGTTCTTTCAATAATATTTCTGCATTTTGAGTGGACCTCATTAAATTTCATTTCCGTTGAACCTTCGTGCGGATTTCGGTGTGGAGTTAATAACCATGGCTCTAACGGATAACCGGCATCACCTAAAGAAAAGCAATTTAAAAACTTATATATATTAAAAAATTTATCATTTACCTAAGAACCAAAAGTTAGTAACACCTTGCAAATATTGTTGTTCACAGTAAGCGCGTAGACCACTGGAATTCCAAATGAAAGAATCGTGACAGGCACCGGGATGTGATGCATCAACGTAGCGAATATTTAAGTCATTGTCACAAAGCTGGAAAGTATTTAATTTGAGCTATACATATATGTAAATTGAATTAATACAACACAGCATACCAGCATAACATTTAAACTATAGTTTCCTTTTCTATTGCAGTACAAATGTTTATTTTCGGTTGGCGCAATAATGCGAACATGAGTTCCGTCAAGGCATCCTGTTACTGCAGGAATTTTGTGTTTCAAATAGAACATTTGCGCAATCTTCCGCTTTTCTTCCTCCGATTTTGGAACCTTTATCCAATTCGGGCAAATTACTTTTTCGAAAACGTCTAATATTTCGACTAGTATTTTGTTCAAAGTTGATTGGGCCAGACCGACATCATAATCCTTGCCAATTCCAGTCTGGTATCCACCTTCGGCAAACAAACGCAAACAAGCGCTAAGTTTAATTATTATTGGTACAGAGAACTGCTTTTTACCAGGCTGAATAGAGGACCCACACGTTTCCAGCAGGTATTTAAATGCAGGTTTATTCACCCGAAATTATTTCGTAAACCTTTAGAATTATGTTTTTAATTTTCCCGTCGGAAATGTATACATTTATCTATAAGCTTACAATGTTTGAGAAAGCTCCAAGGGATTAGTGGCATCACGCACATTCCGACGGCACATTCTTTGAAAATTATCTTCTTGCTCCTCGCATTCTTGCACCACAAATCTCCTTAAAGCAATATTTAACATTTTGTGCATTAAAATTTAAAAATTCTTCACTTCCTTTATGAAATTCTTACAAAGAAAATAACTCACAATACAAAAAGCAAAACAAAACATATGACTTCGAAAATTCGAAATCCCACTCCCAAAAAACTCAATCTCCCAGAGTTTTGTAATTTGGGAGTTTTACTATTGGGAAAGACTTTGCTCCCAAAATGGATCCTCCCTGGGAAAATTTAGAATTGGGCTGATAGTCTTTTAATTATATGAGCATCGCTCCTCTTTATAGCCAGACGTTGATCATTTCTGCTGGAAATCCCTATTGAAGGAGCTTACTCTTTGACTTTAAATAGCAAAGAAGGGACAGTATATATCCATCCGAAAAAATATTGCCCGACAAGTAAACAAAATTACTGTTCTTTAATTTTTTGCTAAAAATAAATTCCCCAAAGAGCCCCATTTGAAATTATTGAAACGAATATATGTAACATCAAAAGCAAATCACGAAAATTTGGTTAGGAATTACAGTGCACAGCTTCTTTTTTTGTGTCTAGCAGTTTTTTTAAAATTGGTCCAAAAAATAATATTAAAGAAAGAAACCAATGCAGGTATTGAAAGAAGAGAAAACAAAAAATATTATTAAAAAGGCTAGGTTCCCTTTTACGTACGTCAAAGGTCAAGTAGAAGTTGGAACTTGCATGACTGCCCATTGATTGCTCGGGTCGAAAATCTAATTTTTCTCAAATCCCTTGGTAATAGTGAAAATATATTGTATCATGAAGTCAACAACAAGCCTGCGAAATATTAGTCTTTCATTTTAATTGTAAGAGTCCGCGCATCGACCGCCAAGTGACCCACAGCACACTAGTCGAATAAGACCAATTCTTGTTAAAAATTCTGGGTTTAGCCAAAACTTTTGGTGCATATTATTAGATAATGAATCCTTTAACCCAAAAGATAAAGTCAAGTATCATTTCGCGCAGACCTTTATCTTATCGTTAATCTCAAACTCATCTATTTTCAAGAAAATTTTAATTGTCCTCTTGATAATTGCATTGGCCTATAGTCAAAAGATGTAAAGAACAATATTAATATTGCTGGCGTGCATTTAGATCGCTAGTTCCAAATATTCTAATCCTTTTTTAATATTAGCTATAGTTTGCGATTTTTTGCAAATTTAGGAACAATTTCGGTAGCTCTAATAGAATAGCCATTATTTTCCATCATCGCGGAAAAATTTTGTTTATGCAAATTAGTATGGAAACACTGAACTTAAATTGTGAAAATCTTTGCGAAACTTGTTACTCGAGTGTTTTTGTGGTCGCTGATCACGAATGTGAAGTTAAATCTTGAGAAGTCTTAAATCTAAGATAGCAGCGGGATGATTAGAAAACGCATTTCACCTTCAAATGACCTTGAACCTGACGTGATGGAGGTTAACAGACCCCAAATTCGAAAAACCTATGTATATGAATATTTAGCTTTATTCAATAAAATGTTCCCGATTTGACCTTGCAAATGACCTTGAACCTGACGTAATGGAGGCTAAGGGAACTCGGATTCGCATTCAGCGTGTCAAATAACATAGAGAAATATGGTTTGGTTTAATAAGCAAAAACATTTTTTTTTTTTGTAAACCAGTGTTATTCTTAGTTTGACCTTGAGATAACCTTAGCATGACGTCGAGATGACTTTGAAGAATCAAGAGATCCCTATATTAGGATTCAGCGAGTCGAAAAACCTATGTATATGAATTTTTAGCTTTATTCAATAAATTTTCCCCTATTTGACCTTCAAATGACCTCGAACCGGTCATTATAGAGGTAAAAGGACCTCGGATTCGGGTTCAGCGAGTCGAAAACTCCATATGTATGAATTGTCAGGTTTATTCAATGAATTTTTCCCTACTTGACCTTCAACTGACCACGAACCTGACGTGATGGAGACTAACGGACTTCGGATTCGCATTCAACATGTCGAATAACATAGGGATAATTGGTTTGGTTTAATATGCATAAACTTTTTTTTTTTTGTAAACCTGTGTAACCTTTAAATAAAAGAACCGGATTACAGAAAACTGTGCCAGCGAGTGACTTTTTTCGTTCAAGCTGAATGCAAAGCAATATCGTCCAATTGGAGAGTCCTCAAAAGGATTTCCCAGGATATGTTGAAGACTATTGCATTTACCTACAGA